AACATGTAATATAGCAAAAACTACGCATTTCTCAGAAAAATAGAACTTAAACAAAACGTTTTTTATAACATTCTACACATGATTCCATCGAAAAAAGTGAATAAATCGCTAATTCCATTTTTATCGTTTCTTGAACCAGTGTGGGCCGCTAGTTAATTAATAAACTCCAATTTGGCCGAAAGAACAAAAAAATGGCTATTTCCAGTGGAAAAAAGCGGCTCAATTTACGTCATTTGATATAAAGAATTTGAATTTGAAACTGAAAATTTGAACAAGTGCTTAAAGCCACAGTATTTAGCGTGATATACTACAATTTATGTACCTGCTGACTGTAATATTGTCTTAGCAAACGTGATGTAACCTACTTGATAGACTGACGATCTGAAAAAGAAAGCTGGCAGCGGCTGGATGAAAATAGAGGAAAATTGTGCCAATAATGTGGCGTTCCTTGCAGATTCTTATTTCTGAAATTCCGTATGCATAGTCAAATGTACTGCTGTCTGTATATTTACAAATAACTGCAGCTACTAACTACTTCCCACTTACCCACTACACGGTATTACCGTGCCCGCTAAGTACTTCCCACAAAAAGGCGAGCGAACCCGAGCGCTTTTGCTGTGCGGCGTCAAACGCATAAATCATGTGCGCACGCGCTCCTCTGGTTGCTGACAGGGCTGCCAATCGAATAAAAAACTGACAAAAACGGGATGCAAAACTCAAAGAAGATTAAGCTTTGAAATTGATAAATTATTACCAACTGAGATGCGAAAAAGCGATGTCATTCATAATTTGGCATACAAAGCGATTTGACAGCGCATATAAAGTATTGTGGGTCTAGACAAAGTGCAAATTATAATCGCAAACCAGTCGAAAAGTGGTCGAAAAGCCCCTTTTTTGTATGGAGTTTTGACGGATTCGATTTTCGATTCGATCAAAAAGTGCGTTTTGTCTAGGGACAAAACGGGCTGGTTGGTGCCAACTGTCAACTATAACTAGTAACTGCCCTATTATTTTTAATTTGGCCAAACAGACTATTTCCTATCCAAAACTTTTTGCCAAACAAAAGAACGTTCTAGAACAATTCAAAAATTTGAATTTTCAAATCTTCCGGCAGCCCTTAGAAAAGTGCGTGAACGTAATTATTATCATTTAGCACATCGTAACGTAAACTCTTAGCTCTTATAATAATGACAATAAGGTTTAAAATCCTTTGAAGGGTTTCAGTTAGTTTAAAGGTAGGCCGTGTTCCTAACATAATTTTTCGTGATAGATGATATTTAAATATTATCAGATAAAAAATGACGCGATTTGTTTGATTTCTCAATTCATGTAACAGATAAGAAAACTGCAAGGATTTGCCCCACGTAGACAGTTATGTAACGTTACGTTACATTTCGTTAAATTTTCAATTTTTTATTACCTACTTAAAAAAAGAGAGGAACTATGTTCCGGCGCTCGGGACTATTCCCATCTCTAGTTCCCACCGCTGCAACTCCTGTGTAGCCAGGATCTACAGCTTGACCGCCATAACCCAACCAGTGAAAGCCAAGTTTGTCCCGGGGGAAAGTTAAACTGTCATTGGACCCGCAACGAAATTAATCAGAAGAACATAGGAGGAGTTCGCATATTCCGGTGCAGCAGGGTAGCAGTGAAGTGAAACCTGATTCTCCTTAGATATTAGATTTACATAGTATTAAGAATGAAAGTCTCTATGACTACTTTGATCGTTACAACCTAAAATTATACAATTATGTTTTTTCAGGGCATTGTTTTCAAGATGTGTCAATCACAATTTCATGAACACTGCGTTTCAAGGTTTTTTAGCTGAAATTGAAACAATGTTTTTCAGTTGAACGATATAATCGAAAAAGCTGAAGAGTTTGTTTGTTTGGACGCGCTAATCTCAGGAACTACTGATTTAAAAAAATATTTTTGTGTTGGTTTGCGCAAATTTATCGAGGAAGGCTTTAGGCTTTATTTATAACATCACCCCACAGCCAGCGGTAAAGAAAAATGTTGGAAAAACGGGAAATGTTTATCATCATCATCATCATCATCATCATCTCTGCCATAGGACGTCCACTGCTGAACATAGGCCTCCCCCAATGCTTTCCATGTTGCCCTGTTGGTAGCTGCCTGCGTCCAGCACCTTCCTGCTACATTTATGATGTCGTCGGTCCACCTTGTGGGTGGACGTCCCACGCTGCGTTTTCCGGTACGCGGCCTCCACTTCGAACCTTGCTGCCCCATCGGCCGTCTGTTATCCGTACTACCTGCCCATTGCCACTTCAGCTTGCTAATCCGTCGGGCTATGTCAGCGACTTAAGTTCGTTTACGGATCTGCTCATTCCGGAAAAACAGGAAATGTTATTCAAACTATTTTCACGCGTACAAAGTCGCGGGCACAGCTTGTAGTATAATAATAGTGGTAAATTGAACCTGAATAATATTAGTTAGTTTGCATCAACCTTTACAGTTAGACCTCGTCGTTTCAGCCAAATGACGTCCACTGCTGGACAAAGGCCTCCCCCAAGGTTTTCCACAATGAACGGTCCTGCGCTGCCCGCATCCAGGCTCTTCCCGCGACCTTTACCAGATCGTCGGTCCACCTAGTAGGAGGCCTGCCCACGCTACGTCTTCCAGCCCGTGGTCGCCACTCGAGAACTTTCCTGCCCCAACGGCCATCGTCTCTACGAGCTATGTGCCCCGCCCACTGCCACTTGATTTTAGCAATTCTGCGAGCTATGTCGGTTACTTTGGTTCTCCTGCGGATCTCCTCATTTCTGATTCGATCACGCAGGGAAACTCCGAGCATAGCCCGCTCCATCGCCCTTTGGGTGACCTTGAGCCTTCTTATGAGGCCCATAGTAAGCGACCACGTCTCAGATCCGTATACCATCACTGGCAACACGCATTGGTCAAATACTTTCGACTTAAGACACTGCGGTATTTCGGACGTGAGTATATGGCGAAGCTTCCCGAACGCTGCCCATCCGAGTTGGATTCGACGATTGACCTCTTTCTCGAAGTTGGACCTACCTAACTGGACTGTTTGTCCCAGGTATACATAATTGTCAACAACTTCGAGTGTAGAGTCTCCAACCTTCAGAGGAGTGGGTGCAACACGGACATTAGTGTTATTTTACCTTTGTAAAAATAACATTTTAAATATTTACCTACTTAGGATAAAAAGTACTTATTTTAATAAAATGTCTTCATTCATACCTATTTTAACATAAGACAAATAAATTAAACATACCTACTATCACAGAAGATAGAATGACGTCATCATGCCTACCTACTTACTACGCAAACACGAAAGGCTACACCCGAAAATCATATTTGTATTTGGCTTTGCACAAACTTTATCTAATGTTACTCGCGGTACTTTGGCAACAATTTATTTTTTACTAAATATTGTTGGGGTACCTATGCATTATGGTAAAAGAACTAGCTTGTCGTAATTTGGTGTATCGATGTTACTCTTCCGTTTCATTTACCTACACGGAAAGGTAATAGTTAATATTTTAACGATAAAATTCTTAAAACATCATAAATTGTATTCAAAAGAAATTATTTATTAAAGGCAAAACATGAAGTCCCGACGGGCGCGCGCGTTGACACTCGACTGATATAATACCCGCCGGCGGGGCGCTTCGCTGTAGGTAATTATCGGATGTACCACGCGGAGTGAGCCAGGCCTGCTAAAGATCGATTTTGTCGCCTGCTTTATTGAATTTTTTAACCTACTTCAAAAAGGAAGATCTCAATTTTTTGACTCAGGTGATCTATCACGCTCGCTCTTGACCGAATTCCTTCATCTCAAACACACTGAGTCGGCATAGTTTTTAATTTCGCCTCACAAGTAAATGAGACCGCGTCGTAACGTGACACTAGCTGTGTTTGATTAGGCCCGGAGTGTGGTGTCACTCGATATTTTTGGTAGAAAAAGTACGCGTGAAAAAATATTTTTTTGGAACTAATATTTGGGATAATAAGGTGGTTAACGTTGCAGGTCCAATTTTGGTAGAGACAAAATCTCAAGGGTTTAGGATTAGGTATACCCCCAAGGATTTCCATAACCACCGGTCCTGCTGCTTGCACCTACTTCCCGCGACCTAGGTTTAATAGGTTTTTTATTCCCAACAGAAAAGCTTCTTGGCTTGCATCTCACCTAAAAATGATGATCAGGCAAGGTGTAAGCGAGTTTCATATAGAATCCTCGACCACATAGGAACTGGCTAACTTACCTAAAACTGCCGAGACAATAATGCTGTACATTGTTGCTATGGTGACAGATTTAGGCAAGGTTACCACCAACCAGACCAAGGAAATTGAACCCAGGGCCTCTGGATGTAAGACAGGTAGCCTTACTTACCAGTAAAAACCAGAAAAGGTTAAAGGTATAGCTCAAATGAATCCTTGGAACATGCGGTAGGTAATTCCTAATAATTAACGCACAAAAATGTTTCAGAAATGGCTCTTTGACGTAACATAAAATTTTTAATGACCGCACGAATTTCTCTTGAACAAGCAAGGTGAACAACAAGATGGCGGTCCAGACAGGTCTTAAAATGTCTTCTGATCTTATGGCAAACATTACCTTAAATTGATAAATTAAATGAAACTTAAGTAGGTATAATTACTATCTCGTGATTTCTTGCGTGTTAAGTTTAAAACTGCATTGATTTCTTTTCTTAATGAAGAAATTTCCAAAAAATAAAACTCGTGTTTTTTTGTTCTGTTTTTTAACTAACATCAATTTTCAAGATGTTCCTTTCACGAAAATTAAAATCCATACAGGTGGTGTGGATTAATTTTCTACCGACTCCAGAATGAAACTACGAGTATGTCCACATTACATCTCTTATTTCTAAGTACGTGGGCAAAAAAATCATCTAGGCAATCATTTGCCTATTAGCCAACGAAGTGTTCAAACAATTTATTTGACAAGATAATTATAATTTACTTGATTAATAAAAACTTTTTCTTTTTCACAGATTAAAAATGGAGTTGAAATCACCGAAAGCGAAGAAAAAGTCGAGCTTCGCGAAGCTAGTGTCGTGGGGCAAAATGTTCCGTGCGCCGATACTCATGCTGTTCCTTTTGGGCAGCACTAGCTGTGACGACAGTGATTCTAGTGACGAACTGGTGCCCCTAGTTCCAAAATCAAACATTACAAATTCAAATAACTTTTTAAACGAACCGAAGTGGAGGCATAAGCATACACATGTGCTGCCTAATGTGAACGTCAGTTTTAGTGACAAGGAGGTTTTAAGTGACATAAGATATTTGCGAAGGAGGTTGAATAAGAAGATTGTGAACTTTGTGATGACGGATTTTCTTGTTGATGGTGAAGTGGAGAATCGGATCCATTTTAACGGCATCACGGCGAAAGAGACATCTGTTGGGGCTGACGGGTAAGTTCTAACTTATTTTTTATTATTGAGGGCCATCGTTTTAGCGCTCCCCAGTTGGCGGACTGGTCACTGTCACTTGTTTGCTAGTGGCGAAGACAGTGGCACTGAAGTGGTAGAAGCACTATCGCATTTGCACTCACCAGTATAGCGCCACTAGAGTAGGGTCATACTCATATCAATCGCCAGCGATGCCAAAACGATTGCCATCATTTTTTGGCACTATAAGGCGACGTCGCGTCTGGATAAAAAAACTCTTTTTTGATTTCGGTTAAAAATGTCATTTTTTCGGTAAAGAGTAAAGTCAACCTAACGACTTTTTATGTAAAGCTAAGGTTAATATAACTATTAAATACCATCGGTCATTACCAATGTGTTTAAAATTATCATCGTTTGAAACAGTGGCGATTATAACTTTATAATACATTCTTTGTACACGTCCAGGATGACATAAGCACGTATCTTTAGATTCCTTTAAACATTGAGGTATGTGGATGAAACCAATTCAATAAGTCATTGATTTTTTTTTTGTCTTTTTGTTAAGTTTATTACTTTGCCCTTGTTGATTAATAACAATCTTTGTTTGAATTTGTAGACCTAAAGTTTTAATATGTCCCCTAGTTGGGGCAGAGGACGTCCACAACAGTCCTCCATTGCATTGTTTTATTGCATTAGAATCGCTAAAATCAAGTGGCAGTAGGCGGGGCACATAGCTCGTAGAGCTGATGGCCGCTGGGGCAGGAAAGTTCTTGAGTGGCGACCACGAGCCCGAAGACGTAGCGTGGGCAGACCTCCCACTAGGTGGACCGACGATCTGGTGAAGGTTGCATCGAATAAATACTTTTCTTTCTTTCTTTCTTTCTTTCAAGTGCCTGGATGCGAGCGGCGCAGGACCGGTCTTTGTGGAAATCCTTGAGGGAGGCCTTTTTCCAGCAGTGGACGTCTTTCGGCTGAAACAAACTATATTCACATTAGGTCTTACAAATTAAGCAGTTAAATACAATGTGGACCTAGTAAGGGCACATCAACTTTTGGAGGATCTCTATCGGAATCACGCGGCGAACGAATGAAAAAGTCTTAAAATCCTTTTATTACTACTCCCCAAGTATTACTTAACGTCTTTAGCGGTATCGTAAACCCACAATATTTACATTGCACTTGTGAACCGATGGATCCCGCTCTCTACGAATTAAAAATAGCCATCCAAAAATAATATTGATTGCCCTCATTATAGGTTGCTACCAATCGATCTGTCAACAAGTCTTTTTTTAACAGATAAAAAATATTATTTGACAATTTTTACGTAAAATTTGCTAATATTTGACGACCGATTTTTTTTAAATGACACTAATGTAAATAAAATAAAAACATTAAACAAAACTACGAACTCTGAATGCTGTGACTAATTTCAAAAAATTCAAATAGACACGCATTTCGCGAACCACTCGCGCAGGTCTTTTGCTTCTCTAACTAGCTCGTTCATAAACTACGAAAATTAGGGGAAAGTAGTACGAGTTGATCCCCTGGGGTAAGATGATCTTTCGCGATTGTGCTGAAACCACTAACGTCATTTAGTTTCTTTCACTGGTAAAACATAGCTCTGGACACATCCCCGCCTCAGTCAAATCGTAATGGTGGCGTGAGCGATACATCGAATTTGATGAGAAAAAAGAAAAATTGTGTACTTCTGATCTAAAATAGGCATGACTTTGAGCTTATGTTACTTTTATTCAAACAATGTTTAATGTAATTACTGCTGTCGTTAGGCTTTCTAATAAGTTTAATTTTAATATTTTGGCTATAAAAACGTAGCCGCGTACTTGTAGATTATTTTAGCAAATATTTTACAAAAAGTGGGACTTGGGTCAAGATGATCCCTTCCTATATGTACGAGATGATCCCTGGGAATTAAAACAAAAAAGTCAATGGAGTAGGTAAAGGGAAGTGAAATAAAAGAAAGAGAACTTCATATAACTCACCTGAGTCTGAAGGAGATGATACTGAATGGCTGTACTGAACAGAAAAGTTTTCAAGCGATACCAAGGGTGAAGGATGGATAAAATGTTATGCATGTGGAAAATGGGGCCATAAAGAATGTGGTGGGGTAGAGGGTGATGAAGCAGGTGAATTTATTTGTGATATATTCAACACAGCTCCAGCCAAAAAGCGTTTCAATTATTTAAATGTTTTTTAGCAGGTACTAAGAAAGAATCAGTTATTTTCGTTATTTAATTCGTAAATGTTTTTCTTTTCTAACTTTTTAACGATTTGTTCGCATAATTATGTACTCCGAAAGGAATATAACCAGAAAAGAATAGATCATAGAACAGAATCATAGGGATCATCTTACCCCTACCTGGGGGATCATCTTACCCACAGGGGTGTACAAGATGATCACTTTGTAAGGTTTTGCAAAAAATGAAATATTTTAATGAAACCTTAATTAATTTCTGGTTTTGAGTATAAGGAAAGTTGGATAGATAAATATACTAGTAGTAATCGTCTTTATTTTTGGTTTACCTTGAAAAATATGTATTTTACAGCGATTCCCGCTTAAGGGGATCATCTCGTACTACTTTCCCCTAAATGAGTTGTTAATGTAGAAAGAGATGTTGGGCACCTGTTACAATTTACAAAGTAAAGAAGCGATATCTCATTTTAGGACAGCCTGTCAGCAGTAGAGAATATCAGACTATCTTTATTTTTGCAAAATAACCCAAATTACCACTATTTAACCTCACTCTTACGTCATCGATCATTCGTCAACGACAGCTTGTCTCAAACTCATGACTGACAGAAATACCTACGGGTGGCCTAGGTTAGTATTTTTTGAAGATTAGGTACTACTTCGTCCACGTGGAATAATTACTTATCTTAGCGTGATGACATTATTAGCCTATAGCCTTCCTTGATAAGTGGGCTATCTAACACTGAAAGATTTTTTCAAATCGGACCATTTCTTCCTGAGATTAGCGTATTCAAAGATTCAAACAAACAAACTCTACAGTTTTATAATTTAAGTTTAAATTAAGGAAACTTCCATAAGTTGATGACAAAGTTATTTACAGAATCTCATTGAGGATACAATGCAGTGGGTCATTGTGTCAAGCCAGCTGATGATGAGTTTGTTGAGACGTCAATGAACAGGCAAACTATTTATTATTAATAGCAAATGAGTTATTGTTATTTTAAAATAAAATAAAAATAAATAAGTAATGACCCAATGAAAATAAAGGCTCAGTTGCATTACCTTAACTTTAGCCGGTGTTTTTATAGTTATAATTTAAAGTAAGATGGCGCAACCCAAAACCCAGGGCAAGGAACATTTTGTTTGTAAAGTGCTGTTTCTTTTGGCTATAAATACTAGCTGTGACTAGATGTCGTGACATCACTAGTATACATTCCGAAGTTCCAAAATCAAATTTCGAATTTAATTCGTAAGAAAAAAGTTAAGCCATCCGATTCTAAAATTAAACTTTTTAATAAACAGTTGAGGCATAGGCATACTTACTAATGTGCAGCCTGCTGAAAGTATTAACTCTACCTAAAAAGAAAAAAGTGACAAGACATGAAGGTCTTATTGTGACATTATGGTTTAATTATTACTTTTTCGGGAAGTTTGAAAAATAATAACCTAAGAATTGCATGCATTGAAGTAATAATTACTAATGAAAAAATGAAACTTTTTCGTGATTTTTCGCACGGATGAAAAAGTCCACAGTCCAACAGGGTCATTCGGTCAAAGCAGGTGATTCTGAGCTGCGACTGTCAATGAATCGTCGAACACAGACGATTTATTATTAACAAGCCGGCAAACGACTAGTCTGAAGGGTAGGGCCGCCATGGTTTTGCTTTTTCGGAGACAATTCAGGACTGTACTGACAATGTACACACTGTAAATAAATATTAAATTGCTTCTAAATTAGTTTTCTGTTCTACCACACTTCTTTCTTGAACTTCTTTCTTGAAACTTTACGTCACGTATATTACGAAATGACGGACTTTTTCTGAATTTGGTTGAAATTTCTAATCGACCAATGATTTTAAAAGGCATGTATTTAAATGATCTTTTTAAATTAGCAAAAATGGCAAATAAAAAAATCTAAAGGGTCATCTATTTTAATGATTGATCCTCTTTCTTTGAGACATAAAATAAATAAAATCGATCGATATTTTAACCTCTTTTGAACTACGCAAAAAAAATTTGAGATGTAAAAATTATATCTGATCGTTACTTGTTGGTCCTCAAACATAAAAGAAATGAGCACCAAATATTCAACATTGTGATACTTTTTTAAATAATTCGATTTGTATAAATTATTTTTTGTCTATATCAAATAATCTTCAAAATAATTATGTTATGGTACTTATTTTTATTAAGTTGTAGTCAAAGGATGGAAACTATTTAAAGGCATTTGATGTTCAAAGATTTTTTTTTATTAAAAAAGCATACGTAACACATTCACACTGCGTTATCGGGTCGAATTGACCTTAGGTGCTGGATGCGTTGGTGCGGGATGGATATATTCGGTCTTTTCAGTAGTACGAAAGATAAAATATTGTTTTGCAGTTGTTTCGTCAAACACAGTAAATATTTGGAAAAAAAAAACTTATCAGGTCCTTACGACCCGATGTCGCACTAAAAGTAAACATATCGTTTAGTGCTTTTATCGTGTCTAATCGACCCGTTGACAGATGACTTTATGGTCACTGATCACGGTCGAGATCGGTATACTAAGAGAAAATCAACCTTGCGATTTGAAAAAAATAAAGAGGTAAAAATTATGTTGCGTTCAGGGATGTCAGAAGTAAGAAATTATTTTACATAGCGCCTCTAGTCCCAAACTAAGCAAAGCTTTTAATTTAAACAAACATGGCAATGTACCATTCTGCTTGCTAATTGGCCGCTAAGCCCTTGGCCAACTCAGTAACCAATGACGGACGATTGTCACTCAACCACAAAGTACCGCGTAAATTAAAAGATATTTTTTAATTAAAAATAT